TTACTCTCTTTCTCTCCTCTCTCTCTCCCTTCCTCTTTCTCTTTCTCTCTCTCTCCCACACACATGCACACACACACACACACGCCAATAAGTAAAATACAAGATAGAATGTGATACATGTTCCAAAAGAGATAAACAGAGATAAATAGGAAGTACCACTTTTAAGCCCAGGGCCTTGAAGAACATACAGGCTTTTGTCAGGTAATGATGTAAGAAAGGGCCTCACTGGTGAAAAGAATAGTGTATTTAATACCATACAATTAGCCTCAGTCATAATTTAGTCATAAATTATGCTCATTTAGATGGAATTGACCTGAAATTTTTCTTGTATGTTCTAAAACCTGCTTCTCCAGATATTTGGGGCATCATTGAATGACTGTTCCTCCTGAACTTTGTTTTCACTCAAAGCATAGGCACTGTGGTATATTGATGATGTTTGAAGGTTAGAATGGTACCATCATTTTGAATCTTCATAATGATTGTTCTGGTATTCTCTGTCATCATTTTCCCTTTCTCTTGACTCTCATTTCCTCTTCACTGAATTTTTTTCATTCTACTTACAAATGTATTCAGATCTCCCTCTTCTACTGCATTACAGTGGAAAAATAATTATTTCTCAGTCCTAGTATATCTGTCAGGCTGTCATCCTGGTTTTCTTTAATGGCAGTAGCATTCAGTCACTGCTTCTCTCTCTTGCCATTAACAGTTATTTAGCGTCTTGCAGTCTGAATTTTGCCTTCACTCTTCTAAAACTGTTTTATAAAGGGTCAACAACCATCTTTTAGTCAGTAAATCTAATCTTTTTTTGTTGTTGTTTTGAGTTCAGATTGTCTTTGGCCTGTCCACAGACACTGATATCCATATCTTTCTTCCAGATGGCCTCCCCTTCCTAGGCTTCTGAGGCTCTTTCTTCCTCCTCTTCTCCTAAATCTGTCTTCCTGACACCATCCTCCCTGTGAAGATACTGTTTGCCAAAGATTTGCCCTTGGCCTACTTCTTTCCTTAGTAATCTCATCCCAACCCTTCCTTTCAGATACAAACCTCATTTGTTTCTCCAGCTCTGCTACTCTTCCATTCTTCCATTGCTTGTTAAACACGCCTCATTATCACTACAAGTTCGATACGTTTAAAATGTCTCCACTCTTGATCAAATCTGAATTTCTTCCAGTGGCTTCATCGGTAGCACCATTAACTTTCCAATCACCCACACTTAAAACCCTGACATTTTATTTAATTTTCTTCCCTTTTGTTTCCCGTATATAAATAGTTGTTATGTCTACTAGTTTTAACCCCAGTAGTATCACTCACCTCTTTCTTTTTCATTCCTGCTATCACTATCCAAATTCAGGTCCTCATATCAGCCAGTCTTTTGCAATGACTCCCTAAGGTAGATTTGTAGAAAGAGCATAGGCTTTGCAGTCTTGTAGACCCAAGTGCTAATTGTGAAGATGACACTTACTAGCTGTCTGATTTATAGCAAATTATTTAACATCTCCACTGACAGATGAAAAAATTCAGACACCGAGAAGTTAGTCATTCCTGCCTTATGAAGTACCGCATTTTGAAGGATAAGTGGGACAAAGTGTACCTACCAAGAAAGCACTGAAAAAATATTATTTGTCTTCCTGCTTTTAATCTCCTTACAGCCCATTGATAGATTAATATTCCTTAAGCATAGCGTTAATTATATTGGTCTCTTGCTCTTCAGTGTTTCCCCATTGTCTAACTTGTTCATAATTTTTAGTATTTCTGTCTATTAATTAGCTTCAACCCCCTTTCTGACCTTATTTCTTCCTTCTCTTCGTAAACATCCTTTTAAGCCAAACAAAACCAGTAACAATGCCCAGTGGCAGAGTGGTTATGAACATGAGTTCTAGTGTCAGGCTAGCTGGGTTTAAATCCCAGTTCATTTACTTAACTTTGGGCAAATTACCTAATCTCCCTAAACCTTAGTTTCATCTGAAAAAATAAGGATAATTATAGTGCCTACTGCAGTGGGTTCTTGGAGGGGTGACTGAGATCATGTATATAAGCACTTGTGCCTGGTACGTTGAGAATAGCCACTATTAGTAGGATTAGCAGAGGTAATAGGATTAGCAGCGGTAGTAGTAGTAGTAGTAGTAGTTGTTCATGCTCTTATTATTTGCATCTCATTTCCACCTCCATGCTCACATTCTTTTCTCTGCAGAAATGCAGTTTTTCCCATATGTGCCTGTCTACATTTTAACCATCTTTAAAGATCTTCCCTGGCTTTCTTACCACTCCTGTATCACCACCTTCCCCCTAGTTATCTTTCCTTTCAGAATTTTTTTTCTTTTATCTTTCTTGTTTTTTTTTTAAAGATTTTATTTATTTATTTGACAGAGCACAAGCAGGGGGACCAGGGGAGGGGAAGCAGACTCCCTGCTGAGCAGGGAGCTGATGCAGGGCTTGATCCCAGGATGCAGGGCTTGATCCCAAGACCCTGGGATCATGACCTGAGCCGAAGACAGATGCTTAACAGACTGAGCCACCCAGGTGCCCCTCCTCTTCAGAATTTCTTAACTCTTTTAGTTTAGAATGCTTATTACTTTCACGGGCTTATCTGTTTTTTTCCCTTCAAAAGACTAGAAGTATCTTGAGGGCAGATTGTTTATTGTATTTTCTAAAGCACAACGTCTTATACAGAATCATGCTAAAAGGTATTTGCTGAGTAAATATATTAATTCCCTATAAGCAATAGCCTTTTGGTTCCAAGAGATTTACTTCTTTAGGAACTTTTCTAAACTTCATTAATTATTGGTTTATACAAAATTTAATTTTGTCGTGAAAATGCTATTATTGGGCTCAAGGAGACTAATTAAAGAAAAGGCATTGTAGCAAAAGACAGTAATAGCAAAAACAAAACAAAAACTGACCAGGTAACACTATTTTGGATTCAGTAACTTCTTTTTCTACACTGCCTCGCATTTGTTATTGTTCGAAATCTACTGTCTACCTAATAGTACTTATCATGGTGCCAAATTGAAGTGTGAAGTAAACATTTGTGGATAACAATGAATTTAAAATTTGTTTCACTGAAATAGAAAGTAGCAGATATCACATAATACATTAAAATGTGATTAAATATTTTGTTCAGTTGTTAACATGAGAAATTGTCCTTAGGGAGCGTCACCCTCATGTTGTATGCAGATGGAGTTTTCTTTTGGTAACCATTCCCACTGGTCCTAGGGAAGGAGATAGGGTGGGAGTGGGTGAATCTCCACTTGAGAATTTCTTTCCCACAGTGATTTTGGCACAGCTCCAGCCTGTCCTTCAGCATAATACGTGCCTTGTCTTTGTTAAAAGAGGCTTGTCATTTGCTTTCATGCTTTTAAAAATATTTCTGGTCATTTTGAAATAATTTTAATAATAAATGGTATATTATAATTATAAGGAGAGTGCTCTAAAGCCAAGAGATAAATATTAGAAACGTTAATTTATATAGTCAATTATTTATTTCTTAAATAGACATTGATCAGCACATTAAAATGGTAATATTTTCCCATTCAAGAATGGCCATACTTGACCATAAACAGCTAAGATTTTTTAGTTATAATACAGAATATTATTTGGGTTTTTTGGTAAGGTAAACTTGTATACTTTAGAAGTATGATTTATGTAATCTGTTTAGTTGTCAGGTAGTTTTATGCTCGAGGCCCATATTAAGGATTTCTTTTTTTATTAGAGGCCAGTTTTCCCTTACTACTGAGAGGGTATGGGGAGGGATGGACAGGGGATACAAAACATGACTAATTGGTAGACCAGTTGGATAGATTTTTAAATTGTGAGGGTTTTTTTCCCCTACTGACATAAAACTTGGTATTAATTACTTTACAGATATTTAATTTTTTGTTTTCATATTAAAATCTCAAGGAAATTGATTGAGAGACCCAGCAATCAGCTTAGGCACAGAAGAAAGTAAAGAAAATGTTTCCCATCTTAGCATTTTCTGCTGAACTTGAGGAACAAATACTTTTTTGTGATGTGTGGGGTTTTGTGTTTCTGTGAACTGTTTAGGGAAGCTTTTCTGCTGTAATGGCTGAATATAAGTTGCAAAGATTTAAGCCTTTCCTTATATTAATGTTCCACCCCATTAACTTCATTGTTAGGGCTTTTACACTTCAGTGATTTTAACTGTAGTTCTGTTGTCCTCTCTTTCCTTCTGTCTCTTTTTGAGGTCTAGATAATTATGTATTTAGTTTTTTATTTTCATTTAGACTCAGTTGTTAATTTTGTTAAGCCCAAGATGATGATAAAGTGAAACTGTTGTATAAGTAAATGTCTTACACTGCTGAAGCCTTGACAGATAAGGAGATGCATTTGTGAAGAGGAAGTGGTCACTTCTTCAGCTAGTGTTTTTTCATTTGTCGTGGTCCTCAAGTGATTTTCAGAGATCAGGAACTTCATAGCTATAAGACTCTTCTATTGTGAAGTTCAGATTGGTGATTATACAGGAGCTTTCACCTATATCCCATGATATTTATAGCCCTGGAACCCAAATAAGGGAGAGTTTTGCTTAAAAAAAGCAAGCTATGTTTGTTTTTAAAAATGTTATCTAAGCATTTTCAGAAAAAGTAGGAATTATGCAGTGATCTTTCAGGCAAAGTCACCTTTGCAAATATTTGCAACTCCTTGCAAATGGCAGACCTATTTAGGCAGTAAGGTTTTTTGTTTTTTTTTTTACATGATTCACTGCCAGATGTGAGCACTCCTTAGCCTGTATACCCCAAGTGTACATTAGATGTCTCTTTAAAAAGTAGAGAAAAAGAAGTTGATTGAACTTGAGTTCGGGGCAATGAAGCTATCATGTTGTCAGACATTTTGCATTTTAAAAAAATAATTACTAATATCTTAATAAATAACTTTATGAAGATTAATCCGTGTTTGACCCATTTAAATTGAGAAGGGAATTTCATTTTACATAAGTTTAAGTATTGACATGCAATAGTGGTGTTCATTTCTAACCATTTCTTTTCCAGCTCACCAGCGACTGGAACCAGCAACTCTGTCAGGGATTGTGGCATTTATCCTCAGTCTTTTATGTGGAGCTCTGAATTTAATTCGAGGTTTTCATGCCATAGAAAGTCTTTTGCAGGTACTGTACTATTTTTGCAATTTCAGGTGACTGTGCCTGTTGATTCTACTTGTAACTCAGTTGATTTGAATTGATTTGGGTATAGTACAATTTGTGGTGCATGTTCAGATTCTGTATTCTTTATGCCTTCCCTAGTTTCTCTTTCCTCTAAGATGATGATTTCTAGTTGGCTTCTTTGACTCAGCATGTATTTATTTATCGACTCTGCAAGAGGCACAGTTTATTAGGTACTCTGGGGACACCAAGGTATGTCTGACATGAGTGCTGCCGTCTCAGAGCCTAGAGTCTAATTGGGAGGGGGCAAAGCAGCATGTGAATAATTGCCAAGTATGTAGAGTTTGGAAGAGGAGTAGTCAATATAAGTCAGCATAGGAGAAAGGTGCTTTGTGGAGAAGGTCTGAGCTGGACCTAAAAGGATCTGAGTGGACAGAGAGGAATGGAAGAAAAAGGGGGCAGTTATGGGCAGGTTTTTGTCCTACTTCTATGTATTTCCACTTTATCTGTTCTTTCTCCTTTTTGTTGGTGGCTACCTGAAACCACTACTTTTTTCAGATATTACAACTATGTTGTTCTCCAGTGAAGTTTTTTCCAGAGACTGTGGCTATCAGAATATACTAAATTTTTCTCTTTTTGTAAACTTTTTGAAACTTCCTTTCTTAAAGTTTAGCACATTTCAGACTGGACAGCTTTCCTTACCTTTGTTTCTACTCCCTCTAAAAAAAAAAAAAAATTTTTTTTTTTTTTTTGATACTTCCACGTGTAAATTAGTTCTCTGTTTTTGGTCAGCATTAAGCTCAGAATACCATTCTTAAAAACCCACTTAACACACCTTATATTCTTTTTTAAAATTGCTTGTTAGTTTGGGGACACTCTGAGAGTACCATTCTGAGTACCCTCCGAATGTCCTCAGCTGTATGAAGCCAATAGCAGAGGACATCACGGGTCCCAGGCAGCTGAGCTATCCCTTGAGTGGGTAGGGGTAGGTTTCTCATGACTTCTCAATTCTTTTTTCAAACATCCTGGACTCTGAGGTAAAACCCCTCTTCCCTTTCAGGCACAGGACAGCTGGCTACTGTCCCTTGGTGTTCCTGTCCCTGTTCTCTAGCCAGGTCAGCTTTGTTCCAGCAAGAGTTCAGTTTTGAGCCAGTTAGACAACCTACCAAAAAAAAAGGCAATTTGGAGAAAGCTGACTGAAAAGTTAATAAATAAGATATCCTCTTCCTTCTTTTTAAAAAGTGGAAAGAACAGTAGTGTAGGTGGGTGAAGAGTTGGTTTTTGTTTGTGGAGGAAAGAGAGAGGGGTTTGGCTCCAGCTCAGCTCCTGATTAGCTCTGTGACCTTAAATAGCTCACTTTACTTTCTGGTCCTCAGTTTCATTACTTATAAAATGAAGGAGAAGGCTGAATTTGATGATTATTTCTCAAAACATGAGGCACGTTTACCACTAGTTGCACAGTAGATGACTTTAGATGGTAGAGGGATAAACATTTTTAATTTTAGGAGTTATGTTTTTAGTGTATGTTAATGTGTAGCTTCTGTATTGGGTAAGATTAATGATAGAGATATAAAATTTTCCTTTTAAAATTAATTTTAATAACTTTATGGAATTTTTTTAAGTATTTTAAATAATGGTATAATTTAGAGTTTGCAAAAATTGTGAAGATGGTTTTCTGTGGTTAAAAAAAATTCTCAGGTTGTTTGAAATTATCAAATTGATAAATAAGGGGAGGGAGCAGATCTGGGTAGAAAAGTTTTTGTGTTACAGAGCCTTACCATCCCTGACCCAGAAGACAGTGTCTAAGTGTGGAGCTGGGGGCTTTGACCCTCATTATTTTTAAGTTAAAAATCTGACAAGGCTGTTTTATCTCACAAAACCTATTAAAGAAAATAGTGTCTTTCAGGCACTCAGATATCTTATCCCTCATCTTCCTGGACTGATTCTTTCCTTCTCCTTCTTCTGATTCACAACTTCAAAAGTAAGGAAAATAGTATAAACTACAGCTTTTCATGCTTTTGAGCTGCTACAGCTAGCTGATGCCTGCCTTGATTTCTGAGTGTTTCATGTTTTCCCTCTGCACAGTAACGTCTTTGCCTCATCACAGTTGTTGTTTAGGTTTTAGAAGAACAATAATCTGATTAAACTGATTACCACTTACATGGAACTGACTGATGGCTCTGAGATTTCTCAGCCTGTTGACATATAAAAAAGACATCACAAACCAGTGTAACTCATGAACACAGATGGAAAACTCTTAAACAAGATATTAGCAAATTGAATCCAACGATATATAAAAAGAATTATATACCACAGACAAGTGGGATTTAGTCCAGGTATGCAAGGCTGGTGCAACATTCAACAGTTAATGTAATCCATCACATCAACAGGCTAAAGAAGAAAAATCATATGATCATGTCTGTGGCTGCAGAAAAAGCATTTGACAAAATCCAGTACCTGTTCATGAACTCACCACAAACTTGGAATAAAGGGGAGCTTCCTCAGTTTGATAAAGAACATCTGCAGAAACCCTACAGTTAATACCATACTTGATGAGAAACTAGATGCTTCCTCCCTAAGATCAGGAACAAGACAAGGATGTCTCCTCTAACCATTCCTATTCAACATTGTACTGGGAAACCTAGTTAATGCAGTAAGACAAGAAAACAGAAGGCATACAGATTGGGAAAAAAGGAATACAACTGTCTTTATTCACAGATGTTCTGATTGTCTATGTAGAAAATCCCAAAGAATTGACAAATTCCTGGAACTCATAAATGATTATACCACGGTCACAGGATCCAAAGTTAATATATAAAAGTCAATTACTTTATATCAGCAAGGAACAATTGAAATTTGAAATTAAAACAATATATTATTTATATTGGCATCCCCAAAAATGAGGCACTTAAGAATAAATCTAACAAAACGTAAATAAGATCTATATGAGAAAAACTGTAAAACTCTGATAAGAGAAAGAAGATTTAAATAAATGGAGAGACATTCCAAGTTCATGAGTGGGAAGACTCAGTATTGTTAAGATGTTAGTTCTTCCCAGCTTGATCTGTAGATTCAACACAACCCCAAACAAAATCCCAGAAAATTATTTTGTAGATATTGACTAAATGATCCTATATGGAAAGGCAAAAGACTTGGAATAGCCAACACAGTACTGAGGAAAAAGAAATCAAAGCACTGACACTAACCAACTTCAAGACTTACTATTTTTTTTTTAAAGATTTTATTTATTTGACAGCATGCATTCAAGCAGGGGAGTGGCAGGCAGAGGGAGAGGGAGAAGCAGACTCCCCGCTGAGCAAGGAGCCTTATGCCGGGCTGGGATCATGACCCAAGCAGAAGGCAGGTGTTTAACCAACTGAGCCCCCCAGGCACCCCTTCAAGACTTACTGTTAAGCTGTAGCAATTAAAACAGTGTGACATTGGCAAAACAATAGACGGATGGATCAATAGAACAGAATAGAGAGCCCAGAAATACACCCATACAAGTATAGTCAACTGATCTTTGACAAAGGAACAAAAGCAATTCAGTGGAGGAAGAATAATCTTTTCAACAAATGGTGCTGGAATAGCTAGAGATCCACATGCAAAAAATAATAAATCCAGACACAGATTTTATACCTTTAATTACAAAAAGTTAATTCAAGGGGTGCCTGGGTGACTCAGAGGGTTAAGCGTCTGCCTTCAGCTCAGGTCATGATCTCAGGGTCCTGGGGTTGAGCCCCTCATCGGGCTCCCTGCCAAGCAGGGAGCCTGCTTCTCCCTCTCCCTCTACTGTTCCCCCTGCTTGTGCTCTCTCGCTCTCTGTGTGAAATAAATGAATTAAAAAAAAAAAAAGTTAACTCAAAATGGATCACAGACCTAAATGTAAAATATAAAACTTATAAAAGATAACAGGAGAAAACCGAGATGACCTTGGGTTTGGTGATGACTTTTTAGATACAACGCCAAAAATATGATCCATGGAAGTTTAAAAACTTATGTTCTGTGAAGGACATTAAGAGAATGAAAAGCTAAGCCACAGACTAGAAGAAAGTATTTACAGAACACATCTGACAAAGAGCATGTGTCCGAAACATACAGAGAACTCTTAAAACTCAAGAAAGTATATAATGCAATTAAAAATTGGGCAAAAGAATGGAATAGACACCCCACCAAAGTAGATATACAGGTGACAAAAAAGCACATGAAAAGATGTCCAACATCATATGTCACTAAGGAATTGCAAATTAAAACAATCAGATGCCACTAAACTCCTAGAATGGCAAAATCCAAAACACTGACAAAACCAAATGTTAGGATATGTAACAATACGAACTCTTCATTCATTGCTGGCGGGAGTGCCAAATGGTACAGTCACTTTAGAGGACAGTTTGGCTGTCTCACAAAGCTAAGCATAGCCTTACTGTATGATCCAGCAATCATGATCCAAGGTATATTTACCTAAAATGAATAGAAAACTTATGTCCACGCAAAAACCTGCACATGAATGTTTATATCTGCTTTACTTGTAATTTAAAAAAACCAGAAGCAGCTAAGATGTCCTTCAAAAGGTGAAAGAAACTGGCCATCTGTACAATGGAGTATTATTCAGTAATAAAAAGAAATGAGCTCTCAAGCCACAAAAAGGCATGGCTAAACCTTAAATGCACATTGCTTAATGGAAGAAGTCTGAGAAAACCACATACTTAAATGATTCCAACTATATGACCTCCTAGGAAAGGCAAAACTATAGAGACAGTAAGTAAAAAAAATCAGTGGTTGCCAGGGGTTTGGAGGGAGGTAGGAAGGGATGAATAGTTGGGGCACGGGGTTTTTAGGGCTGTGAAACTCTTCAGTATGTTACTGTAATGGTGGTTATGTCATTATACATTTGTCAAAACCCAAAGAACATACAACACAAAGAGTGAACCCTAATGTAGACTATGAACTTTAGCTAGTGATAATGTGTCACTGTTGGCTCATCAGCTGTAACAGATGTATCACAT